TGGACCATAGAATATATGGACAATGGAAACTACACCTGGACAACAGCCACTAGATATGAACCGAAAAAACTACACCTGGACCATAGAAACTACATCTGGACCATAGAAACTACACGTGGACCATAGAAACTACACGTGGACAATGGAAACTACACCTGGATCATAGAATCTACACCTGGACCATATAAACTACATATGGACCATACAAATTACACCTGAACCATAGAAATTACATATGGACCTTAGAATTATACCTGGACCATATAAACTACACCTGGACCATACAAATTACATATGGACCATAGAAACTACACTTGGACTTTAGAAATTACACCTGGACCATAGAAACTCTACCTGGCCCATACAAATTACACATGGACCATTTAAACTACACCTGGACTTTAGAAACTACACCTGGACCATAGAAACTCTACCTGGACCATACAAATTACACATGGACCATAGAAACTACATGTACACCTGAACCATAGAAATTACATATGGACCTTAGAGTTATACCTGGACCATATAAACTACACCTGGACCATACAAATTCCACATGGACCATAGAAACTACATGTACACCGTGACCATGGAATCCACACCTGGCCCAGCCATTCTGTTGTCTAACCCGAGCCGGTCAAAGCAGAGAACCCCTCATGAGTCTGGTTCTGGTTCTGCAGGAGGTTTCTTCCTGTTCAAAGGGAGTTGTTTCTTCCCAGTGTCACCAATATTTTGCTCAGGATGGGAAGTTGTTAAGAAGTGGAGATTCAACACAACCTGCAGCTTCCTTAGATAAATTTTACATTTTAACATTTTATGACCTGTGTGAATGATTTAATGATGATTTAACAATTGAATAGGTTAATATTAAAAGGAACTATGTGAATGTTAATTTAGAAATAAATCTAACTTTACAATAAATCTGAGTATAAAGTATGGTTTTATAGTTGTATACATTTTTCTTTTCTTTTTAGAGTGTTAGTATTGCTACAACAAATAGTTTTAAGGTTCTGTACACGTTGGGCATTTATCAACACACAAAAAGAAATCTTCCACTTTGCTTTAGCTCTTAACCGTGAGAGAGGCCGTCTCTGAGGGAGCATGGATGAGTTTATTAACAGCATCTTTGGATCATTTTTAGAGAAACAGAAGTCATATTTTCATGCATTTTTTCTTCAACAGCTTTTATTTTAATCCTAATTTGTCATTTTATTAATTTTATTTCAGGTAAAGCAGCACAGACAAGAATATTTAACTAGAAAAAAAAATTCAAACTTTGAATTTGTAAACCAGTCAGCCTGCAGCAAAACTTTTTTCAGCTGGATGATTGGTCAGAGGTCCGGAGGACAAATCAACTCGATGTTCTCAAGCAGCAGCAGGGATCCTGTTTCTCCCGGAGATTGCTGCACCCGATCGTCCATCGGACCGCACAGAGGAAGCGGAGACGGTTTCTACTGGATCAAGTTTGCTGTGACGCTAAAAACTAAATACTCAGTTCAAAGAGATTTTTTTTTTTTTGTGTGTGAAAGTTTAAAAGTGTTTTACAGCCTGAGGGCATGGTTAGGGGTTAGATTCCCCCATTTATGTGGGGAGTTTTCACTTTTTGTACCGAGTCTTAAAATGTTGAGCGAGTGAAGAAAGTTTCTGAAGACCCAGGTTAAAAACAGCTGCAGTCCAGCTCTTACCTGGCCGTCTCTTTCCACTCCATCTCCTGTCCGTCCACTGACAGCAGCTCGTCCAGTTCCGTGAAGAGCTGCGGGGGTGCTGGTCCATCATCTTCCTCTCCTAAGATGAAACGGATCCTCTCGGCTGCTGGTGAGACTGTGGAAGACAGGAAGATACCGCGGTTCATAGCCTGACACTGATGTCCATTGGGTGAGGGTCTGGGTGCAAGATCTTCAGCTGCATCCTTCTCAGAGACCTCCTGTACTGGAACTTTAACCTCCTTCTCTTTCTCATCAGCATCTTGGTCTTTGTCCTCCTTCTCTTCTTGATTATTGTTATTGGACATCTTTAAGTTTTCAGTGAGTCCACTTTACTGTCCACACCAGCTGACCCAGTGTTAGATAATCAAGGGAGCGGAGTCCCACAGCAGCAGTTAGACACTGGTGGAAGTGACAGCCAGTCCCAGCTGCCTGTTCCAGCACATTTCGTACCAGGTAGGAGGGGGCTGATGGGGTTTAGGGGTCCCGTCAGTGACAGTGTCCCCACATCTACCCCCCCCCCCCCCCCCTCACTGTTCAAACAGGCCTTCTCTATTGGTGCTGCTGCCTTGGCAAGTGGCCTTGGAAGCCGTCATTAACAAATAGGAAATGCTTCACCAACTGGCCCGTTCTTCGACTGTTGAAGAACTCTTGCCTTTCTTTCCTTTGTTCTTTTAATTTAAATATTAAAGCGCAACACAATGCAAAGTCAAACACAGTTTCAAGAGGATTGATACACTTTTGAGTGTCTATTCAAGACAAGCACTCTGTAAATGCACGAGATGATCATGGGTTGTTTCAACAACTACAGTTATATCAGAACACAAAGTATATTTAAACTACGAGCGACGGCTTTAATGAAAACACAATTTTAATTGAGCAAAACAAAGTTATCATCAGCAAACAGTGGTCCATAACAGCTACAGCACAGCTTACTGTATTTAGCCTACAGATAAAAACCAAGGCCTGAATGAAGCTGCTTCAGTGACTGAGAAGACGCCTCCATCCCCGTCCAAACCAGAAAACTGTCCCTGAACAGAGCACGATATTATTTTAGCTGGCTGCTGTCATGCTGGTTTGTGTTTTGCTTCATATGTTGGTGGACTCTGAATTTTATTTCTTTTTTTACAAAACACAAAAAAAGTAAATTTGTCTAGTAAAATGCACAATGTAATGTTCACGGTGCACTTCTGTTTATTGCAGGCTGAAGGGTGGAAACAAGGTGCTATGATGTCAGCAATGCTGCTGTATTAGCAAAGCATGCACTAGGGTGTGAGCATGGCGTGTGCATCATTGTTAGCATAGTGTGTGCAAAACTTTTAGCGCAGTGAGCGCTAATGTGTTAGCATTGCGTGTGCTATGTTGCCACAATGTAGTTCTGTGGTATTTTGTTTTTCAGCGCCATCTGAAATAGGTCTACGCCACTGGTCAAACAAGATGGAGAAAAAAGATAAGCAATGAAACAACTTTTACACATAAACGCATCACAAGGGACAGAACAGAGTCGTAGCGATGCCTAGCATGAGATTATTGTTGAGTCAGTAACCTGTAACCCTGCAATGTTTCCAGGACTTGCTCATCAAAGAGATTAATAATCTCAATGGATTTATTTCCTGGTAAAATGAAGGTTTAAATAAAAAAGTATGTACTCCAACATAAAGCCTATAATATCCTGCTTATGTCATTGAAATCAATGATGGGTTGTTTATTTGGGAAAATACCGTAACAGAACTTGGTTATGGTGCAAAGAAATGTGAGCTTGATCGGAACAAGTTTTATTCTAATAAATAAATGTGAGCAACAATTAAAAAAAACTACTTTCAAAGTTAATTAAAAAGAATGATTCAAATCAATTCCTATTTATTTTTGTCAGGTTGGATTTTGGACTGCTGGACATGGGCACCGGCGACCCCCATGACCCAAAATGGAAGAAGCGGGTAAAGATAATGGATGGATGGATGTTGGATTTTGATTTAATTCTTTTAATTTATTCTTATTTTGTGAATTGTCTCTTTATTTTTAGTTTATATTTAGTTAACGGTCTGGACGTTCTTTCTTGAGTCGACGCTTGTTGAATTCTTCCTAACGAGGCCAACACGTCAGCTTTACTGGGCCACACAAATGAAGAACTGGATGGTTTTGAAACTGGAGAGACGAGTCGAAGCTGCACTGAAGGTGTTGGACAAAAGGAACCTGTAGCCAACTTCTCGGTTTAATGTTTGTTGCTTTAGTTTATTTCAGTCCTCTTTGATCCACCTGTCTTCCATGTCTAAAATCTGCACATTACTGTCCTCAGAAGAGTGTCTGTTGTCGTGGAGATGCAGATGAGCTGCTGAGTCTTGAACTGATGAACTGGCTCTTCTGTGTTTGTGTAGCTGCTGTTTTGTTTCTTCAGTACAGACGTGTGGACGTTCCTCGCTGCACTGGATCACTGAGCTGTGCTGAGGTATTGGATTCTTGGGGTGAACCAGTCTCCATCTGAGAGTGACACACTAGAATAGTGCTTGAAATAAAAACAAAAAAACAATTATATTAAGGAGGCCTCAGGCTCCATCTTTCTAAAACCTTTAGTGCAGCTTTGACTCGTCTCTCAAGGTGGTGTCAAACGACCCACATGATGGACGGGAGGCTCAGAGACTCGTGACCCCAACGGCTTTATCAATGTGATCATCACCGCAATGACTCAAACCCACCATCAGAACTGAAGAAGCCTTTTGCATGAGAGGTCAAATGTCTTAAAGAAGTCCAGTTGTCTTCTACTGAACCACTTAGGATTGTTTTGTTCTGGATGAATGGGAATCTACACCACCTGACACACCTGTTGGAAGTCAGCCCAGCTGTTTGCCCTCAGTAATCGTGGCCCTCAGGTTACACTAGTCCCTCGTTTATCACGGGGGATCCTTACCCTGAAGACCTGCAATAAGTGAAAAACTAGCACAAGTAGTAGTTTATTATATATATATATATATATATATATATATATATATATATATGGCATTTTAAATTCTTAACGCTCTAAAAGAGCACAGAATGTCATGATTTCAGCTCCCTGCCTCCGCTGCTCTTTGTCACCTGCAAGCGCTCTTGGCCACGCCCACTTCTCCACCCTGCACAGTGATCAGCTGATCAGCTGCAGCAGGAAGTTCATCCTGCAGTATGGGCTGCACAAAAGTGCCGCAGGAGCTAAATAATTTTAAATAGTTTATTTTAAATAAAAACTCCATGCCGATCGTGCGGCTCATCCATCAATCAGCCAACTGTGTGTCATGTCCAACCTTATTTTGAAAAACTGTGATAGAGCGAGTCCGTGAAAAATGATGTGTGAAGTAGTGAGGGACTACTGTATATATTCTACCGGCTCCTGTTTGTGTCTGCCTCTGGCTCTTTGCACACTCCTGCTTGTTTCTTGGTGCCTTGTCAGCTCGTTTAACTCATTAATGAAGATATGTGATGCATGTTCAATAATCCAGGTAGATTAATCTAACTAGGTTAGGTCAGGTCCTCTGGACGGATTATTCCTGTTAAAACATTTAGTCTTTTATCCAAAAGACTTCTTCAGTCTGAGGAGCTGCAACAGTCAAGCAGCACCTTCTCGTAGTGGACCAGTCAGTTTGCTGCTGACAGCCAGAACTAGCTCTTCACATGCAAAAGGACTATCAGCTTAACGACTGAGCGTTAATGACGAGTCTATGTTTGAAATTAGTTTTCCTTCTGTTGTGTTTGCACCTGGGCAGCATGGTGGTGCAACTGGTAGAGCTACTGCCTCTCAGCGAGCAGGTCCCTGGTTCAAACCCCGGTCCAGGGGCCTTTCTGGGTGGAGTTTGCATGTTCTCTCCATGCATGCGTGGGTTTTCTCCGGGTACTCCGGTTTCCTCCCACAGACCAAAAACATGCATGTTAGGCTGATTGGTAACTCTAAATTGTCCCTAGGTGTGAGTGGGAGAGTGAATGGTTGTTTGTCTCGTTTGTCTCTATGTGGCCCTGTGATGGACTTGCGACCCGTCCAGGGTGTACCCCGCCCCTCGCACAGTGATTGCTGGACATGGACACCAGCGACCCCCATGACCCAAAATGGAATAAGCGGGAAAAGATAATGGATGGATGGATGGAGGGATGGATGGATGGTGTTTGCACCTTTGGGTCCTGACAGCCCTCAACAAAACTTTAAAAGTACGCAATGATCCCACAACTGGAGAACATGTAGTCAAATCCACAGAGAAAGGCCGGGGATGCGAACCTGGGACTTTCTGTTTGTGAGACGACAGCACTAACCACTGCTCCACCGTGCTACCCCAACTGCTAAACTTGCCACCCAGTAAAAATTCTTAAAAACCTAAAATGGAAATCAAAAAAAATGACACGGATGAAAAAACTGAGGAATAAATGATGTGGGAAACGTCACCAAGAGCCGAGTGTCAAAATGCACCTTCAGGTGAAACGTCGACGTGTGCACTCACACTGCTCCAGTACACCAAGTCATTCATTAATATTTTCATCCACTGAGTCAGCACCCAGCACAGTGAGTCATTCATTCACTCATTCAGCCATCCAGTCAGCCATGCGGTCAAGCATTAACGAGGTGAAGGGTTGCAGATCTCTGCTGGTGTGACAGTGTCAGCACCAGGAACCAGCAGCTGGAAGATTGTTGGGTGGAAAACAAACTGTCCGCTGACCTCCCCCCACTCCCACCTCCAACACACACACACACACGTGCACACTTCTACAAGCTGTAATTAGCTTGAGTCCCTGCTACCTGCCTAATAATACCTCAGAGGGAATAATTAAGGTGCAGTCAGCTGATTGCCATCTCTCCAGAGGTTTAGGTTGATTACAGTAAATAAACAAGCTGTAAATACACATGTGAGTCAAACTGCACGGAAACAATGATGGAGCGATGAAGACCCAGACACCATCAGTTTACCTCAACTCCTGATAAATAAAGAAAACAGCTAAAGGTGGGAATCCCACAAGATTCACAAACTTTGAGAGGAAAAACACCTCCCGGAAAAATGCACCTGTTTTCTGCCAAAAAGACACAAAAAAACAAAAACAAAGGTCAAATCATTTCATCTGGACTAGTTTCTTTTACAACAAACAGAAAACTGTGAGGAGATTATT